GAGAGAGAGAGAGAGAGAGAGAGAGAGAGAGAGAGAGAGAGAGAGAGAGAGAGAGAGAGAGAGAGAGAGAGATGAAGTTTAAAACTTTAGCATTGTTTGTTCTATTAGGCGGAATGTCGTCATTATCAACCTTTTTTTATTTTGTGTGACTTTGTGCTCTATCGTCTTGGGCACTTTGCATTCTGCTCCCTTGCTGCTCACCTGTGCACTTTGCATTCTGCCCCTTTGTTGCTGACCTGCTAGGAATTGAAGGTTTGTGGCATTTGTGCTTTGTAGTGATTGTGCCGGCACAGTCATTGTTCAATGATCATTCAGGGTTATGTCAACAGGTATGTCTTGCTAGGACCCACCCACTCATGTTTGCTGTGCATGAGTCAACTGTCAATTTACCATGAGTTTCTACCACATTTTAATTCCTGACTTCATCGTTGGAAAGAATGACTATAGCCACAGCGAATGGCTATTGTCAGAAGGAATTGCAATTATGACAGAAAGAGTGGCTATAGCTTGATGCACTCATATTTGCTGTGCGCGATTAGTTCTTCCACTTTTGATTGTTTAACTGATCGAGAGTCTGTCTATCTGTCTGTCTGTCTCTGTTTGCATGTCTTTCTGTGGGTTTGCCGGTCTGGCTGTCCATTGGTCGGTCTGTCTGTCCGTCTTCCCGTCTGTCCTCTGTAGGTCCATCTATCTCTGTCTTCCTCTGTCTGTCTGGCCGTTTGCCTGCCTGCCTGCCTGCTAGATTGCCTGCCTGCTTGCGCCTGCTCCCTGTTCCCTGCTCCCTTCTGCGTGCTGCCTGCTGCCTGGTGCCTGCTGCCTGCTGCCTGGTGCCTGCTGCCTGCTGCTGCCTGCATAACCCTGTGTTTGTTTGTCTGTCAGTCTTTCTGCCTGTCGGTCCGTCCATGTGTGTGTGCGTGCGTGCGTCCCTGTGTGCCGCTTCTCGTTCGTCCGTACATCGGTCTGCCTGTCTGTATGCATGTCTGTCTGCCTGTCTGCCTTCCTGCCCGCCTGCCTGCCTGTCTGTATCTTCCTGTGTCTGTTTGCCTGCCTCTTTGTCTGTTTGACTGTTATTGCAGGTGATCCCCTGCGTCTAGCAACAGCGGGATTTGAGGGATCCCTGCAGCTGTGGGATCGCATTTGGAACATCAGGGATCGTCTGGTTCAGATGCTTCCAGAATTAGGGGTACGTGTGAAATTGTTGCTGTTGTAGAGGAGGGTCTACTTTCCTTCCTTCAAAGATTCCTTTTTTCACATGTTTATAGTCTCATTAACTTTTTAGTAAGTTTCTACTGACTGAGAGAGGATCAGTTTATGGGCTTAAGTCGCCAGTACAGGGCCCCAACCTTGCAGAAAATGTTTCATCGCCTACTGGCCCTGCTCCAAAAATTTTGTGTCTCGGGCCTGCCGGACAACAATGGCTGCGCGGCGCCAGCCAAAAAAGGAAAAAAAAGTGCACCGCCAGCTGGTGGTTCGCCAAAGCTTGGTGTGCAGTGGAGCGCGTCTCCAGACCCCCCGGGTGTAACCCCATGCTTTTCTAGGTCTCCATCGGGAAAGGGTGGTACAAGGATGAGAGGGCCCTAGGTCTTGAAAAACGCACCTGGTCCAGAAATGTTGGACTCCCTCCTAACGCACCTGGTCCAAAAAGACGTCCATATGCATGTAGACTGTTGAGTAGTGGAGCGAGGTCCTTGGTCTCGGAAAATGAATCGGGGCTTGTCAGTCATGCATTGAAGTCACTCAGTGGAATCGAGACAAGCGGGCCTCTCAGTCCCAGTTCTCCCACGACCCTGCCCCCTTGACGAAGCCAGGTAAGTGGCACCCTCCAAAATGTGGAAATGGGACAAGACTCACAAGAGGCCCGATCGTGCTACTGCTATGCTTGAGTCAGGCCAAAGGTCACGTCAGTTTGTCACTGCTCCTAGAGTCCTAGCCCCTGTGATATTTTTGACCAAGGTTTTTTTTTTTTTGTTAAAACCTCTTGTTGGGGGGATTACCACGTGGGAAGGTGATAAAAGCATCCTCCTGAAGCGGCTCCCCTACTGGAGGGCTCCATCTATTAGTGGGGAGCAGCACTTGCTGGAAATGGGGTCCAGCGTCCCAAATTCTCCCAATAGTAAACAACATACTTGTGGCGCACCAGTGCACTGCGCTGTGCGGTGCGCTGCGCCATGCGGAATGCGCTCGGCTACACCGCACGCGCACCGGTTGCGCTGTGCGCGCAGCGCATTGAGACACACTGCTTTTCGCCGGCGCGCCTTGTGCGCCGTGCCTCTTTTTTTTTTTCGTGTGTGTGTGTGTGTGTGTGTGTGTGTGTGTGTGTGTGTGTGTGTGTGTGTGTGTGTGTGTG